CGCTAGTTTGGGGAAGGGCAGGCAGGGGGCCTTCACTGGACAAATTTTCACAAAATGGTAGAATTCTAGAATGAACATATAATAGAATTTTGCATGAATGTATCTTTGTACTGTTGGTGTTAAGTGCTACATCAAGAGTACACACTGACAACATCGTATTTCACGCCATTTTATTTATAAAATTGTAATTATCTAACAAATTGTATATAAAATGATTTACTTCAAGTAAATACAGAATACTGCACAACTATTAAAACTATTGTATTGTCCATCATAAGTGTATTAAAACATTCCTAAAAAAATGCCTCTATTAAAAAACAAAAACCCAAGAACACAAGTAGCATGATCAAGACCACTTTCAATAGCTTAAGATGAATTACCAGGAAGTTGCATTAACTTCCTAAGTAGACTCCAGTTACATCCATTGAGATCCGCATGTGATACAATACCACAGTCTAATGCTAAAGATGACAAGTAATACATTATGCACCTGATCTATGCTTTTCTCCTAGACTGATGGTAACCAGTCTGAAATCAGAAAACTAAAGCTCAAGTCAAACTCTACTGGGCATGCAGTTCTGTTACAGCAATACTTTCAATCAGTAAGTGTAGTTGGCTTTTACAATCAATTTTACAACTGATAAAAAAAGGAACACAAGAGAATACATTCGTATAAAAAGGAATGATACACAAAGGGTAAATATTGACACCTTGCTGTACACCTCAGGATGAACCAGAGAGAGAGATTCAGTTAGAACTATTCTGGATTATACGTATCAAAGAGAGGTCTGAGTCACAAAACCCAAATCCCAGTCTCCCCAGAGCTCCAGGTAGTATCAAGTCCATCTCTGCTATGTACACAGCATGAACATGAACATACATGAACATACATACAGATTGAGCTTTTTATTAACACATTAACATTGCCAAAACACAAGACAGCTAGCAGTGCTGCCTGGTGCACACTAGCAGTCACAATGTTTAATTTTATACTGCATGTTAAGGGAGACTTTTTCTTTTTCTTCGAGTGGCAAAATTTGGTAGCTAAGAGATCCAACAGAGTTGTTTTGTTTTGTTTGCTTTGGCAAGTTTCATGGCCAGTTAGAGATATCTGAAAAAGCTTCAGAGAGAAAACAAAAATGGGAGGGAGGAACTGGAACCTTCAACGGTGCTTGACACCCGTTGAGATCTAGTCTCCTTTCTAGATATTTGCAGAACTGAAATTTCAACGCGCCCAAAAGGCACACACAGCAAGAATGGAAACGGAATCAAAAATTCACATGAGAGTTTCTCTTGTAATAAAGTTGTCGTGTAATCAATTTTACTAAGGGCATCTCTCAAGTAGTAGAAACACAGATTAATGTCCAGGACAGTCCTTATAGCACCATGTTTAGTCCCGCCGCAAGGGATGGCAACCTCCTGTAATGGGTAGGGGTTGCTGACTCCGACCCTCCATTTGCCAGTCTAACGCTGCTCGAATACCACGAGGCAAAGGGAAAAGGCAAGGGAGCCCCTGCTGCTGGCCAGAGCCTGCAGCCGGCCAGGGTGCTCTCTGCTGGGGTGCCCGCTGCACGCCCACTGGGCAGGCACTAAGGGCGGGCAGTTAAAGCGCTCCCACCTCGCCTCCATGGACAGCCCAAATGACCACTCTGCTTTCAACAGCAAACTCTCACGGTGGACACCTTTCGTATCTCTAATCAACACTTTTAGGGTGAAAAGCAGTCATGTGCAAGAATCATTTAATCCGCATGCTACTATTTACATTTCAAACACTATTTACACACCAGAACTACAGTTAGCATCTCACTCAAAGGGAAGAGAAGGTGGCTTTCAGGACAGAGTACACTTGAGCAAGCATCTCCACAGCTTCAGACTCTAAGGGGCACAATCAGAATTATGGATTTTGAAGCAAATAGATCCTACTGCTACTGAAACAGACACACAGAGACAAATCAAATGTGTCCATTAGGCTATTAATTCTAAAATGAGAGAAAGAGAGAGAGAGAGAGAAACAGAAAGGCCTGTGAATATGGAGAGTATTTAGAAAGCAGAGGAGTAAGGACTGTGATGCCCTTTGGCAGGGCTCAGCAGGGAATTTGGAAAAGGCTTTCAAGCCAGGGCTACTGCTGAAGCTACCAGACCTCATTAGCAACACCACCACCCCATAGGAATTGCCTGGCAAACAAAGCTGTTTCACATCTCACAAGGGCCATAAGCCTGACACACATTTCTGAACAACTACTGCGCATTAAAGATAATCAGACTGACCTCTGAACTCAGACCTACCCCAGCACCACACCAGGCAGGCTAGAAATCGCCAAGAAGTCATGCTGCCTACCATATCTTACTGCCTTAGAAACTGAGCCCGTGTAGCCAGCATCTACTAGAGCCAGTGTGCTCTAGTTGCAGCTCACCTGAAGTTTTCACAAAGTTTTCTAGAAGGAAGCGTGCTTGCATTTGGCAGGCTCTGACAATCATAGATTGATTTCAAAGGCCTCCCACAAGCTTTCCAAACTGGACACCTAAGCTGCTCAGTAGCTGCTGATGGGGCATTTCTAGGACACCTTACTCATTTGTAGACAAAAAAATGTGGAATTTCAATGTGCAATATAGACAGCTAATCCTGAACATTCAGTATGCATCCATCAAACAACCACAAAAATGAGGAAAATAGGAGCATTTCTTGGGAGCAGGGAAGGGGGGAGGATCAGCATCTGCAGCAACAAAGACGAGCTTTAGAAAAATAAGTTATTTAGTGGTTTTTGTCATTCTAAGACTCAGCAGAAGTGTTGCACATTTGTGTGTACACGTGCAAGTAGCGAGAACAAGATTTGCTCACCTCAGAGCGTCTACCTTCCTACCAGTCTGACGCTGCCAACAGCACATCCAGCAGACTGGACCTCAGAGAGCAGCGTGACAAGACAGAAGGCCAATACAGTACAACTGCAGAAATTCAAGTAGAAGAATGAAGTTGTCTTCAGAAGCCCACAGCAGCAACAGCAATATTCAAGATCAGTGGCAACAAGAAATATTTCTGTAATGTAGGCTTTTTTTCTTTTTCTCCAAACCAAAGCACTGGGTCACAATCAAGGCTCTTGGGTGGGTTACTTCCTCAACCATGCTTCCCTGATTTCTCCCCGCACCATTTTGTCTCAGTGCAGCAACACCGGTGCTGATGATCTGTGTGTCATGCTGCTGTCAGGCAAACGGTGCGTCCCTTTGGGGGGAAACAAACACCAGTAACTCCTCAAGCTGAGAAGCAACTAAAAAAAAACATAACACTGTGGTGAGGTGGAACCAACTTTATTAAGGACAGTGAATTATAATTGCTTTCAAAGGCTTTTAAAAAAAAAATTACTCTGAGTCATGGCTGGCCTTTAACAGCAGATACCAAAGGATATGGAGGCTGCCTGATTCAGAGCCAGTCAGTGGGAGTTAACCAGAAGAGGATGAGGTAATGCTCAAATTCAGGAGGGCCACAGGACTGTCTGAGGCATCTGTGGAGCGCCAGTATGCCTACCACCATCCTTCAGAGGGGAAAAAAACATGTCCAACTAAAGCACAGAAAGGCAAAATGTGCAAGGGTACATATACTCACATGTTCAAGAGTTATAGGACCAGAAAGGACCTTAATAGGTCATCACAAGCCTTCTATCCATCCCCCAGAACAGGGAAACTTTGAAAGCAATGTATTCATCTCTTCTAGTCCACATACTTCATTTTAGGAAACTCACAAGAATTCTAAGAGAATCTAGAATTAGACACCTTACAAAGAGGTGCTACACACCCTTTGCCACTGTCTGACCAAAGCAAGAGCCAAGAGGTCACAGCTTTCAGGATTGGTTCTGCAGATACTGAGAAGGGTTATACAACAAGCTAAATTTATACAAAGTGCAATAAAACTACCCAAGCCACAGTCAGGTTCGTAAGTTTGCTATTATTAGTGAAGAAGAACGAATCAAAAACTCTAAGCTGGATCCAAGTCTGATCTAATTCTTCTTCCACTATTTGTGCTTTACTCCAAATTCCACTCTCTTGTCCAATTCAAAAGAGTCTGTCTTGGCTGATCCTAATACATGCTTCATTTAAAAACCTTTATTCCACCGCTTCAAGAAAGCTCTTTGTTGCATTTAGAGCAAAGGGAGACACATCTCCGTAGCAAGGATCTGTTCACTGGAGGTAAGCATTTACTCTGGCAAAAGCTGTTCTCCCCAACTTCCAAGGGAATGGGACATGATCTTTCCATAATCACATGCATTTACCAATAAATAAGTGTGGATTAGACTGTATTTAAAATATATGCACAGATTTAAAGCACTGGAGTGTCACAGATTCTTACTCCACAGCTCATGCAAGTAAAAAGAATTGAAGAAAAAAGAAAAAAAGAAAGACCAAAGCCTCAGCTAGGAACAGACCAAAGAATTCTCTTAAAAGAAGTTTTGCACAAGTATATCAAAGCACTAATATTAGTGAGATCCCTAAATACCTTAGGTTACACTAAATTCCAGAGAAACAAAAGATTTAGTCATATCAGATACATATTTTTTGATTTTTTAAGTTAATATATAATTCATTCTTTGAATAATATTACTCACTTGGACCCAACATCCACACTGCTTTCATACATTTATACAGATATATCCCATCCTTGCCTTAAGAGACTGATGTCCTAAGGTATGGCAGCAACCAAAGGCTCTATAACCCTTGTTCGTCAAATATAAAACTCCTTTCCCTTCATACAAGGATGGAGAAGGAAGAAAGATATCGATAAAATTAGGCAATTCTCCCTGTGAGCTTGCTGATTCCAACCTCAAAGTACTACAGGGAGATGGTCGGAAGCTTGCATAAAAAAAATTTTCCCTTGTTTTCTAAAAACAATTTCTTTTATTGTACAATAGATGCATAGAAAGTTGCTTCCTGCTTGATGGGTTTAGGCCTGTAGCTATGTTTAGCTGTGAAAACAAGATTGTTCCTTTACAGAGCGATGAGGAGAGAGACCATCTCAGGAATATTTGGCAGCTATTGAAGAGCTCATGACACGAAGAATAAACAGCAAATCCACAGACTACAACGATGCAACTCTGTCCCACTGAATACACCAATTTTAAAAAAAGTGTCCACTCATTACTCAGGATCGAGAATACAGTAGAGATTCACGGCTCAATAGCTTTCAAACTGGTGGTTTAAAAGAAGAAAAAAAAAAAAAAGGTCAGTGAGCAGCAGATTTTAAGTAGCCCACTCTTCTCTCCCCCACCCCAAAGAAACACGAGTTCACTGCAATATCAGGAACTTAGACTTGAGACTACTTGGGAGAGAAGGCTTCCCTGTCACCCATGTCCATACAGCTTGGTGTCGGAGTGACACACTGGAGGTTTCAGAGGGTTTCGGTTGTCCAGTGTCTTCTTGTGGTTACTTCAGCAGTTTTACCAGCTGGCTCTGACAGCCTCAATGTCACTAACCAAATTCTGGGCTAAGCATATCCCAAATATCTGGAAGAGACAACAGTTTATTCATTCGAAGCATCAGACAACTCTTTTCACACAGGCAAACTCCTTAGGTTATACAGAACTTTGATATGAAAACAAGCAACAGAAAGTTACGAATCAAATTAGCAGTAAGTGTTGGAAGAAAGAAGAATATAAAAAAATACTGTAACCCCAGTATTCTTATAGTGCCACTGGGTTCCAGGAAATTGGAAGTTCTAGACTTGCTTCACAAAAGCAACTGTAAAGGCTTTTCGCTGCTCATTTAAGCACCATCAGAAACAGTAAGTCTGTACAGGCTTAAAAATATCTACCTAATCTTTATCTAACATAGAGTGCTAGTTTTGACCTGCAGAGAGTTGAAAAAAAGCATTCCTACAGATAAAAATTAAATAGTCCTTGACACAAAGAAAGCCTCATGTATCTAGCTCTCCTCACTAAAACCTACAGATGTTATATTTCTAAGTGCAACTGACACTGTATTTCCAGTCCTCATATACAGTTCCCCCCTTATATATTCTATTTATCTGCTGTTCTTCTGTATAATTCATTACAGGGACATGATGTTTACCTGCAGTAATGCTATCCCAATGAATATACCAGCAACTATGGTAAGATTGTCCTGCAACCATTTCTCAAACTGAGGAACACAGCCTTTAGTGTAGATAACAATCTGCTGATCAACTTCCTGCCAAGGAGAAGAGGGAAGAAAACAGAGATAATTACATTTGACCATCCCATCAAATAGAATAACCTGCTCTTGCAAGAGGGATTAAGATCCTTAAGATAACACATTAAAAAAAATGCTTACTGGTTTTTGCCTTGCATCGTAGCCACACTGAGTATTAATAACATCTTCCTAGGAGAGAGAGGCACACAGAAGAGAGGCAATCAGTGAAATGTCTCCCAAACACCCTCTCCCAGCTCCCCAAGGGTTGGTCCTGTATGTAGTCAGACAGTCACTCTAACCTTGGTTATCATATTGCTTTTTTAAGCAATTGCTTCATTTTCCATTCAGTGCTATTAATTATTTGCAAAAAACAAAAAAGCACATGGTCAAAAAATACTTTCAGCTTTCAGGGCAGTAAGCTGGGAAAATGGTCCCTCCACCTGGATGAACTCCACATTCCAGATGCAAGCATTCAGAAGTCAAAGTAAAGGGATTAGGGAACATTATTTTAAGTGAAAGAACCTTCTGCTGAAAAGGTTTTGTCTACACTCAAAAATATGCCAAGACTACCATTAACATTTTCACAGTTCAGTCTGTGCAGTGTAAAGAGGTGAGAAGGTGCAGTTCTGTTGCAGAAGCTGCAAGTGCTTACTGAGGATGTCTGTAGAAATATATACAGTACCTAGTTCCTTTCCAAAAACTAGGGAGGAAAAAGAAGAGATCGATTAATGTGTTCTAAGTGCCCATTCTTTCTTACAGGTGCTTGATACCAATGGGAAATGTGGGTTTGTTTTTTTTTGTTGTTGTTGCTTTTTGGTGTTTTTTGTTTTTGTTTTTTTTTTTTTTACTACTGCCTCTACTTTATTACTCCCAAAACACAGGTAATAAAATAGGATATGCTAGACTTTTCCTAGTGAACAAGTGCTACCCACTGGGAGCCAAAGTTGCATTTACTCTGTATACAGAGTTATTTCAGGGCAGTAAAATGAAGCAACAGCTTTTGGTGTCTGCCACAATGGCAGCAGAATACTAAGTTACTGGCTCACAATAGTAACAGTGAGCAGAAGAAGGAACTACTCAAGGAAGTGAGAAAATCAGCCAATCTTAGTTAGGTGTACTGAACACTACAATTTAATCAAACTGTGGGAAGTGAGAAAGGCAGTCAGCAGAGAAATAGATCTTAAAAAGCAGCCATATGGATAGATATCTCCTCCTATCAGCAGTTAAAGCTCCTGTAAGTGTTTCCTCACTTTGCAGGGAGTACATCAACAGGTCACATCCTGTCAGTTGCCCAAGCTGGATTCCATTAATGGACCTTCAATATTTGAGCAATTTGTGTCTTTTAGTGACATGAATGCTTCTGTTCCACAGTCTAAAAATATAACAGTGCCACACACTTAAAGGCTGTAAAAGTAGGTAAGATTTCAACAGAAGGATTTTAAGCATCATTCTTGGTACTGAATGCCTACTTGCTTTATCATCAGTGTCTTCTGCCTTTAGCCTTGGAATTTGTGTAGAATGAAACGGAAATAAATCAACTTTTCTAGGCCTTGCCTGTACCAGAATTTGGAACATTTCAACCTGCTAAACTATAGCAAAGTGAGAGTCCAAACTCATTTTAGAGGAGACTTATTTTGGCCTACCTTAAACTTACCACTTCCTGATTCAAGCTAAACTAAAAGTAAGTCCTATTTAATAAAGCATCCACAAAACTTTTTGCATCAGTCCAACACTGCATCCTAATTCCAAAAGGGACAAATTTGCTCTCCCACGGGATAAACCTGTGTTTACCACTGCAATTGAACCAGTCACAGCTTGATTACAATTATATCCATTATATGCATGATTTCTAATATTTTTAGAAATATTATTCTTTTTAGTCTTTATTTTAAAGGCAACTAAGCATGTTCCTTCCCTACAATGAATAAGACTTATCTTTAAATTTCTCTTTGCTGCATCACCCACTAAGAAACTGCATAACCATACATACACAAAGATGGAGAGATAACTTTAGCATGGATTATGTATTTACAGGATTACCTTGTACTGCTGTCACTGGTTTGGTTTCATAACAACTATATTTTTAAAACTGGGTTGTGATGACCTGTCTGTGTGGGTGGGTGGGCAGACAGGCAAACAGTAGGGGGAATCCAAAGCATAACATAATGCTTGAGGCTAAGCTACATTTTGTTTTAACATTTCATTAAAAAGTTTTCACCAATGTTTGTGAGAAAGATTCAAACTACTGTGAAGACACATTCACTGCAGAGGAACCAGAATGGAGCTTGTGCAAGTGGCAGTGCCTTATCAGGAGAGGAGGAGCAGTAGGGACTGGATGCAGGAGCAGTGACTGCATTGCATTAGCAAGGCAGAAAGCACCTGATGTGCCTGTTGGCAACTTGCCTAACTTCAGTCAGTGCTACAAACTCCTACATTCAAGGAACTATAAGTCACTCCAGGTGGAGGAAAAGCCACAGCCGAACTACTAGATAATACAAGCACTCAACGGCTGCTGCTTTTAAGCTCTATGAAAGTCAAATGTATGCAGACACATAACAGCTTCCATGCACACATCCATTCTTATTCCAAGCCTTTCACTGTCAGTGAACTGCTTCC